CTGGGGTTCTCAATTAGAGTCTCCTCTTTGAGAGCACTATTTATTATCATCAGGAACAAATGGATGCAATTACTTCTTTTGAGACGTGACAAGTTTTTGACCTCTTAACAGAAAAGAACAGAGCAGTGGCAACAATAGTAGGTAACCTTTGTATGTCACACAAAAGGAGGGAAATTAAAACCAGCAACCTTGAAAGCAGAGGTACACAGAAAGACGCCAGAGTGTGAGAAGGGCAGCAACCAACACAGAGGGGCCAGAAACGGATATCACCTGAGATGCCTTCCACATTATAACAGATAAAATACCCCCCTCACACCCCCAGGATAAGTACTGATGAGCAAAACTAAGTCAAATAATACAACCAACTGAGTAATTATGAAAAGAATCAGAAGTGATCGTAATAATATGACTAGGATTTGAACTGGTGAGTCAGTCCATATACATGACATCAAAACCAAGATTATCCAATATATTCTCTTTGCAATTCAGAAGAATGCTACAACTCACCCCATAAATCACTGCTTTAAAAAAATCAGCTCTAAAAAAAGAGAGAACCCATTTGAAAAGGGCTGGGAGGAGGAGGGTAAAAAGTGACTCATAGCATCCAGCAGCTTGTAGCCTCCAAACCATAACAAGAATATAAAGCTAGTGGGCCTAGCATAAAACAAAACAGAGACATTGTTACAGCTTTAACCTCATAAAGTTCAGATCTAAGCATGACTACAGTACTGCAAATATCTTATGAGCATTTGGAACCTTACAGATCTGAGCCTTTAATTTAGTGTATTTACTTTCCTAGTTCCTGGCTAAATCTGATATCTATATTTATTCAATCAAGAAAAGAACATTCAAATTTAACTATTTTCATAACTCTAAAGAATTCTTAAAATTCAAGTCCACACATTTCAAATCCCACACATATGATGCTGCCATTTTATAGAATGTTTTTTTAATATAGGTAACAACATTAGATGTATCAAGTCAAGCATCCCATTTCACTCACAACAGTACTCAGAGTTATTCAAGACAACTCTGAGATACTTGTAGCAAAGCAGCACATTTGCATAAACATCTTGAGGTCTGGCTCCAGTTGGAGGGTTCCAAGTAGGTGAGGCTATTATTCCTCAGCACCCACAAATCCTGTCCGTTCTCCTCTCCCATTTACAAGTTATCTCACATTTGTTTTCCAGAGCCAGCTATTTCTTTTCAGTGAGGAGGCTGGGTCTTCCCTTGCACTTTGAAAGGCTGTCCTCAGGTGTAAGTTTAGTTAACTCTGTTGCAACAGAGCCTGGAAGAAAGCATGAGAAAGGGGGAGGGACAGATGCATCCCATAGCTGTGCACCTGTTAACTTTATGCCCAAAAGCCCTGAAATGCCACCCCAAGATATACAAACCTTCAAACTCTTTCAGATTTTATCTTGGGGACAGTGAACTTCTCATCTACAATATTTTTATTTACTGCTTCCTTGACCAATACAAAACTGACATTTAAGTTTGATTCATCTTCTTCCTCCAGCAGACTGAACACTTAGGAAACTATTAAGTTGGACTCTATTAGGAAAAGTAACAAATAGTTGAAGTAATGTAGCATATTGCCTAATAGAACATGCAGTAACTCCCACAAGCCAAAGTTAGGAAGTTAGTGGGCATAATAACAATTAAAAGCCACAAAGTACAAAGAATGGCATAATATTTTTTAAAGATTTTGCAAAAACCAAGCAAATTTCACAGGCTGTTATCACCAGGCAATTTCCCTATGTTCTACCAAATATGAATGTGACCACTCTTGAAAGAGTCGGAAAGAACACCTTCCACTGACACAAATCAATGTGTGTTACCCAGGAAACAAACCATCAGTTCACAGGGAAACTTATTGCTAAATTTTGATCAACAACTGGGTTTGCTTTTTTTAAAAAGACATGAGCCTGTTTTTGGTGTCCTCTTTACTTTGCTTAGTGTTTTCATTTAAAGCTTTTTCTTATGTCAAAAAATGTTCATTCACATATTAATGAAATTATTTTTAGGCCATCTTAAAGCCAAAAGAGGAAAAATACACAATTCCAGAAGACAAGAATAAATATCAGGAAGGGAAGAAAAACTGGTGAAGGGAAGGGAGAGCCCCATTGCTCCACTGGCCTGCTGCAGCCACAGTTCACCAGTGCTTCCTCCCTGTCTCACATTCAGCCCCAAGTACTTGAACAGACCCACAATCCCTGGCCCTACACCAGCGAATTTATGCAGACATTGGAAGGAGGCTGTTAGTACCCACAGGAGGGGTTGCCTGCCACATCTACCCACAGAAAGCTCCTGCACTTTGCTGACAGCGCCATTCTACAATGAGAGGAGCCTTGCTTTCCCCAGTGAGAGGGAAGCATGGAGTAGTGACAGACAGTGGAAAGAAAAAGGAAGATGGCCAGCAGAGCAGGAGAGCAGAAATGTGAGTTCTGCGGCCAAGAAGTCAATCTGCAACCCTTTACTAAACAATAACCCAATAAAATAACATTAGTATATATAACTATACCCAGCAGACAGTGCAAACCAAAGCTGGGCCAGTGTCTAGAAATCTAGACAACATATAACCTATTAAAGGCTGGCAGAGCATATCGGAACACTGAGAAAATACACTTCTCTTTTTCAACCCATATTATGTGTCAAAAATGGAATTGCTTTTCCATCCTTCTGTGGAGGGATGGACTGAGCACTGGAAATTCCACATATGTTTCCACAATATTTTTTTGATATTTTAATAAAATGATGAAGCATAATTTAAAGAATTCCCTCACATGCATCCCGGTTGAAGAGAAAATATAAAAGCACTTCAATTATTTACCATTAAAAGCTGGTTTCAGTTTTCACCTTGAAGGTAGGTATGCTGGGAATGCTTTAAGTCCCACAATGTAAAGAGACAGGGATTTCTGATATTTCCATTCTTTAGGTTCTATTAAACAATACTGAAAAACAAGTTGATTCATCTAATTTAAGTCAGTATAACTATTCTATGTGGTTATAAGACATGATCCAAATGACTTCAAAGAAGAAGGACTCCATCAGCTCAGCCTGGACAAAACAACTCAAAGATGACACTGATAAGGAATGGGGACAGCAGGGAGAAGAAAGAGGGGTGACCTGGACCAACCAATATAACCTTCTGATTCTTTTATTCTTCGGTGTTCAGGTCAGGTGCAGCAAGGCTTATATGGAAAGAAAAACAATGATGTGCTTCCAGCATGCGAACACATACCCTTTCTCCCCAGACACTCAATAAGAAACTCATTAAGCCCTTTAGAAAAAAAAAATCTGTGCAGACATAAGTGTTCACAGAGAATTAGGCTGAGTGCACCTTGTTCTGAGTGGCTTTGGCATTCTCTGGGCAGCAGGACCATACCATTCACCCTGCTGATAGGTGAGTGTACCCCAGTACACATTCCTGAAGCTACTACTCTTAGTGCAGGAGGGGCCAGGCACACATTCGAGCATTATCCGACTCTGCAAAGCAAATGTGAGCTGATATCCAGACTGATGGGGGAGTGGAGCCATCTCGCTGAGCTCAGATGGCTTCACGCTTTGCTAACACAGATGGAGTATTGACACTTACCATTAGGGTAATGCAGACAGAGCAGAAGTGCTTGTTTGGAGATAATGCATGAATGATGGGGTGCTGTAAATAACACAACAGTGGTGCAAAAGAGAACGAACCAGGAGGGGCTGGAAAAGTGAGGAAGACAACCCATCTGAATGTTGACAAAATCAAAGACCTCGGGCAAATGTTTTCTAATATATCCTTCAAGCAGTCTGTCCACATACACTTAATCCTCCAGTTTGAATCTAAATCTTGCTCCTGAGTGGACACTGCACGCTATCTCCTGCCTTTGGGTCCTCTGAGGTGCCAGCAATGCCTTCCCTCATCACCTCCAACCAGTCAGAACAGCATCTGCTAAGCGCAGTCCAGGAAACAGTCTCCTTCTCCTCCTACTTACAGAACGTGGCAATACCCTGCAGAATCCCACAATGAAATAGAAAAACAGAAAATTTTCCAGTCCGTGGAAACGTGAAAAGGCAGTTAACACCCAGCACAACCCCTGTCTATTCCCTTTTTTGACCTAAAAGGGTGTTAAAAAGGAAAGCATCAAGTCAACATTAGCTCCTCCCTGCTGATGGAAATTGGCACAAATGCATTTACTTTCTGGCTGCTGGCCCCTCACAAAACCGTTACACACACACACACACACACACACACACAAAGTTCACCACGCTGAACTGCTCCAAATATAAATTCGAGATGAGCCGAATCCCCACCCACCAAATTAAACGAGTGGCCTTTGCAAGGTGAGCTGAGTGCACACTAAATACATCTATTAAACACTTAACATTTTTGAACTTCAGTGGGTTTTTTTAAGACCTAGCAAAATCCGACCTAAAACTTATGACAGCTGAGCACATGATCCCACCATTAAGCGCAAATAAGAAGCCGTATATAACACACCATGAAATCACTGTTGCAAATCTGTCACAAATTCTAAATACGAGACGATGGGAACGAGGCAGAAAACCCGGCCTGAGGGAGGAGGTTTTACGATTTTACCAACCTTCACATCACAACACACACGAACAATAGTAGTACTATCCGCCTCGGGCTAGGACGGGCGGTCTGAAATCCAGATGCCCGGAGCAGCGGCGACCAAGCCCGTAAGTCCAGTGACAAGTTCGCATTCGAGCCAGGCCGGCGGCATCTCGGGCCGAGCCTCCGACCGCGGTGGGCAGCGTGGCGCTGCATCAAGGACACCGCGGCTCCGCGTCAGGCCGGGCACCGCGGCCAGGCCGCCCCGCCCGCCCCCGCCCCCGCCCCCGCGCGCCGGGCCGCCAGGCAGCCCACCGGCCCGCATGGCCCAGGCCCGCCGCAGCGCAGCGCGGGGGTCGCGGCCCAGCCCGCCGCAGCCGCAGGGCGCACGCAGCGCGCCGGGACCTCCGCTGACAGCGCGGCCGGGCCGGCGCGGCCTTACCTTCCGACAGCTCCAGCTCCAGCTCGGCCAGGCGGGCCCGCACCTCCAGGGGCAGCGCCATGCCCTCCAGGCTGCGGTCCGCCATGCTCGCCGCGCCCCCGCCTCGCCGCCTCTTTGTTCGCAGGCCGCGGTCTCGGCCGCTCCTCGCGCCCAGCGGACCCGCACCAGCGGCGGCGCGGCGAGCTCTCCTCCTCGGCGCCTCCTCAGCGCGGCCCCGCCAGGGCGGCCCCGCGCCCGCGCCCGCGCCCCCGCGCGCGCCCCCGGCCCCGGCCCCGGCGCGCCCCCGGCCCACGACGCGCCCGCCCGGCGCGGTCACGGCCGCAGCTGTTTCGCCGCTGGCGGCGGGGACTCTGGCCGGGATCGCGAGGGGCGCGCTCGGGGGCCGGCACCGGGCGGGGTCGGGCGGGGCTGAGCGCGGGACGGCGAGGGGCGCCGCGGGGAGGGGCTCGCGCGTGGCGGGGGCGCAAGGGCACGGCGCGCGTGGCAGCGAGGGGCGAGGGGACTGGGGATCGCGCGGGGCGGGGCGGGAGTGGAGGAGGCGAGGGCGCGCGGGAAGCGGGCTGAAGCGGGAGGCGGAGGCCGGGTGGGGAGCGCGCGCACAGGGGCAGGGGCTGGGCGGGGGCGAGGAGCGCGTTCGGGAACGGGCGGGCGGGGGCGTGCTCGGGGAACCCAGCCTGATGGGGGCGGGGACGGGGGCGCGCACTGGGGCTGGGGGCGGGGACGGGCGGGCCGGCGCAGCGAGCACTCCCCGGGGCGCGCTCGGGAGCGCGGAGCGCGCGCACGGTCTCCAGCGGGGCCTCCCCGCCCAGCCTAGCTCCTTGCCTCCCTCTGGCTTAAAGCAAAAAATACCTGCTGGAGCCTTGGTTTGAACGCGCAGACTGAACTTACAGTGTCCTGGGTCCTCGCCCGTTGAGTTTTTTAAATGAATACTGGGGGTGATGATGCTGGGAGGAGACACCCTGGGCCCCTGGGCCATGGACAGAGCTCAGAGGTTAGAAGTTTCTAGCTCTGATTCTGCTACCAGCTGCCTATGCTAAATAGGGTTTCAGTTTCCCTACCTGGGAAAAGGAGGGCCAAGGAGCTATGGCGGTTGTCTCCAAATTCTATGTCAGCCCTAGGAGGTTGTGGCTTTAGCGCATGTCAGAGCCGGGCCAGGGCATCTTGAGCCAACCCTTGCCTCAGGTGGGGACTCCTGAGGTTTGACCATGATGGCCCCTTCTTCCGTTCACCTACCCTCACTGCATTATCTGCTCCCGCCTAGGTGCGGCCCATGGCCAGATTTCTACCTCCAGTCTGCATCATTTGAGAGAGGCCATCTCACACCTTCTACTGAACACCTCACCTAGCTACCCCTCCTCTATACCGGAACTCCACAAACTCAAAATGACACCAACTCCTCCTGACATTTGTAAGTGTCTAATACCTCACACTGTTTTCTTCACTATTCAGGCTGGAAAGAGCCTAGACTTTTATACTTTCCAAAGTCTTCATACCCTCTCCTCTGCTTCCCAATCCTCTCGTTTATCTACAGGGTAACTGTGGAACCCTGTTGCACTACTGGAGCCCCGATGCATGCTTGGGCAGTCCACCCGGGGTTGCCCCACCACCACCACCAACTCTATGTGTGACCAAAGGCAATTGCTCCCTGAACACATCGCATTCATTTCCCCACACACACACCTTTAGAAAATCTCACTCATTTTTACTGCACTGTCTGCGGAGAAGTCCAGTGTCTTAGTGGGAGACTCAGACTCTGCACCCCCAGCCACCACCTGCAGTTTCCCTGCCTCCCTGCTCTGGTTCCCAAGACCCAGTACCTCATCCTGGGTGCCTGCCCCTCTTCCGCCCACACCTCCACATCCATCCCTACATCCACTCCAAAAACTGCTCCTACTCCCCTCTTACTTTCTGCTACTTAGTGCCCTGTGAAATCTGCCCTTTCCTCTGCCTTCAGCTCTTCCACCCCAGTGTGAGCTCTCTGAGGACAAAACCAAGCCTTCTTCATCTGTGTACTTCCCAGTGATTCCACAGTGGTGACAACTTGGAGAGTTGTCATCATTTCTCGTATAGGTCTATCTGTGGGGAATTGTGAGGGAGAAGTGGGCTATGACAATGACTAGCTTGAAAAAGGTGAATACCAAACTTCTTATGCTTTTCCTCCTGTGGACATGAACAACAGACATTGGTGGCTATGACTGTATGCCCCCCATGGTCTCTCCCCTTTTCATAATAAAGTGACCGCTCATGTAGAATGTCTCAGGCCCTGCTCATTCATGATAAGTGTGAAAGGCCTCGGAGATAAATAAAATAAAATGCAGCAGAAACAAGATTCAAATCCCAGGCTCCAAGCAAAGCCCTGGGTTTGTTCCAATAAACCAGTGTGATACTGCACATTCCAACAATAAGTGGCATCCAGTCAATCTAGGACAGGACAATGTCAGAACAAAAATACATATTCCCGTTTTAACACGTGAATGGGTTTTGATCATTTGTTTATAATACTATCACTGATGTTAGTTCCAAAAGAGACGACTAGTTTGCATTTAAACACCTTGATGGCATACTTAGATTCTGAGCTGGCAGTTCTTCATTTGAGCAGGTCTTTGTATAACTACAAAATACCCATGGGAGGGTGTCCCCTTGGCATTGCCAGTGACCTGATAGACATCTTTATCTGGAAATCCTGCCTTGTCCTCAAAACACACTATATCCAAAATTAAATTCCACTTACCTCCATCTCTGTTCATTATCTCTGCCAGCAGCATCCCCTTTTCCTAGTTATCCACACTTCTAGTCATGTCTGCTATCAAGTTTCAATGACTTCTACCTACAACATTTCCTTCATACCTCTCCCACTGCCCTCTGCCTAATTCAGCCTGCAGAACACCCTCGTGGTTTTTTCTTTCCATTCTTTCTTCCATGAATGCCAATCACTCCTCTAAAGTATAGAGTGCTCCATGGTTACAGTGATTTTCTGTCTACAAATCACAGGGCCTCTTGGTCTGATATGGAACACTCCCCAACCCCCACCCTACTACCCTGCCTTGCAGTTTCCTTCCCTGATCTCTATTCAACTGGACTCTCTCGTGCACCTCCATTCAGCTGACAAATTCTCCATTGTCTGTGGAGTCTTCTCTTCACCTTCTGGGTCTGGCTTTGATCACTCTGCCCCTCTTCTCCTTCATTCCTGCATCCTGAGTCACAATCCTAGAGCAAGTCCCTTCCATTCAAGTCCAATTGAAATGCCACTTCTTCCCTGAAGTCTTTCTCCCTAGCCTCTGGCTAGAAGATTCTCCCACCTCTGGAATTACACAGCTCTTTTTCTACCTATTCTACCTGAGATTAGTAATTGTATGCATGTCTCATGAGGCAGGTCTTTTATCTGTAATTCTCCCACTGTGTTAAGTGACATTTTTTTCCTCAAAATGCAGTCTGGCATTGGAACAAGTGAAAGAAACTTATTTCCCCAAATCCTATTCTAATCCATTCATGGCCAGCTTCAAGGAATGTACTTGTGTGTTTCCATATATAAAAGCCTGTCTCAGATGGATATCAAGGTGGTATAACAATGTCCAACAGAGGTTTGGTAAAATGGATTGCACAGACACTAAAGGTTATTTGCTTCAAAGCTCCACCCAAAACCCTGAAAAAATTCATCATCAGTTATATTTTTGAACCATGGTGTTCAGAAAGTCACTGTAAAGTCTCATGACTGCTACTTGGGAGGAGTTACATATCCTTTGCAAGTATTAATACACTAGAATGCTTTAATTCATCGAATAAATCAGTCTTTACATAGCAAAGCCCAGAGAGTATGAGACACAGTGCAAAACATTTTGGTGACTGGGAGGAGAGAAAGCCTCTCCACTAGAATCCTGGCCTGGGAGGAGGGAGCCAAGAAAGGGTCCATGGATTGAAGAAACCTGAACGTGGCACTGTAAGCTATCTCAGCTCCTCTACGGTTTCGCCTAGACAGTCCAGAAAACAAAGCTTTGAGCTCCACAGAGGGCTACCTACATTAGTGATTCATTATATCAGCTGATGTTTGAGTCTATCTGTCCCTTGTTTCACTGTCTGCAAACAGGTGATTGGTGATCACTATTCCCTACCCTGAGACCTCAGCTCTGCTTTTTTCTGTTTCACTGAATTCCAAGTCAATTCTGAGTGAAAGCTTAGGTACTGATATGTAACTAGATGCTAGATTTCAGAAAATCTGGTTAGGACAGAAGAGATTAGTACAGGAACAGATTGAATCAGAGTTGAAGGTAGGGTGCAGCCAAGAGCGATGATTTATTAATGAGATAACACAGGAAGGAAGCATGCCAATCCTCAGCTAATGGCTCGCCTTGGAGAAGGCTATCTCCTCTCCTCTGACTTGTACCAGTATTCCCCAAGTCTTGTTACTGATGAAAGTTACTAATTCCACTTGGATAAGATGAAGGTAGAATTTGTGCCTGCTGTGCTCTCTCCTATGTATCCTCACTTGGTGAATTTTTTGCCTTTTCCAAAGTCACTGGGAAGAGTTAGTTGTGAACAATTGTATGGGAGTTTTCCAAGAGCTCAGATTCCAAATCCTATGGGGAGTGAATGGTGCTTGCTATCCTATTTTTACCCAGTCTTCCTAAACCTAAAACTTCCTTACAGAACTATGCCTGACAATGTATGGGTTTGGTTGTTTTATTTTTGTCTTACCTCAGGATCACAAATTCAGTTTGGGTATAGTGTTGGGTTTATCGTCAGCGCATAATTGAATAACTGGACACAGAAATTTTGAATTTTGCTGATTAGCTCTTGGAAAGCAGCTTGAACCAATGAATGAAACTACATTATTAATGCAAGAGATTGTCAACATTTTTGTGACCCTTTACAGCATTATAGAATTAACCAAATAATGCAACTGTGACCAAGTTTGATCAATCATCTATTCTCTGTATACGCGTTGTAGACACTGTCTTCCTTGGGAATTAAAGAACTTTACAACCTCTTTACCCAAAAACAAGTGCACTGACCAAAGAGAAGAAATAAGAGAGAATCCCACAGCCAACCTAATCTAATTTTTTATACCATTGCTGGAAGTACAGAGAATTCAACTGTGAGTCAAAGACGTGTTG